AAAATACAATATATATGAAAGGATATATATATATATATATATATATATATATATATATATATATATATATATATATATATATATATAAGGAAAGGGTGTGTAAAATTCACGTTTAATTTAATCTTCACTTTTGTGATAATTTACAGTGAAGATTGGAGCTCAGTAGCGACTTTTTTAATTTTCTGAAGTCGCCCGATGGACTGGTAGAAAAAAATGTCTACTATCCAATGACAAACCTTTGTTTACCTTATATGGTTATTGTTATTATTACGCACAGCGGATCTTACCACGAACAAATGGTCATCAGCGTGGTGCAGTGCTTAGACCGTTTGCTCTAGAGTCGCGGAGAAAGGAGTTGGTCTTTACTTCACAGGTTCGAATCCCACTGTGGGACGTGCAGAGAGAGCGGTCATTTGGATGAGACCGTATAAACAGATTTCCCTTGTTGCAGTAGGTGCTGGCACGAAAAAGATTCCTCACTGCTCAATGGCCCTTAGTTTCGAGTATAGATAGGTCAAAATTTGCAGCTCTCCACCGGCAAGTGGTGGCGTCTTCATATGAGTGAAAAATTCTCGCTAGGGACGTTAAACAACTACAACAACAACCAAAAAAATGCACGAACAATTTTCTCTAATCATTGAATGAATGTTTGCCTACAACATATTTACATTTTACTTCGTTCACGTGGTTCAGGTCAATCTTTGGTGAGATATTGAATGGACTGCCAAAAAACAAGAAGTGTTTGTAAAACACTGATGCCCCCGTATAGCAACTCATATCAAAGATTAAACTTTCTCAAATGCAAATCAAATATGTTGATACCCAAAGTAAGGTCTTGTCACAACGATTACATATGTGAAGTGTGAAAGCCCAAGCACCAGCCGTTCAAAAGTTATGGCCAAGGTTAAAGTTTTTCAAAAGTAGGTCAAACTCCAAGGTCAAAGATGTTGGTATCCAAGGGAAGACCTTGTCACAAGGATTACATATCTGAAGGATGAAAGCCCTAGCAATAACCGTTCAAAAGTTATGGCCAAGGTTAAAGTTTTTCAAAACAGGGTCAAACTCCAAGGTCAAAGGGTAAAAGTTTTGTGGTATCCAAAGGAAGGTCTTATCACAAGGTATACACATGTCAGGTATGAAAGCCCTAGCGCCAACGGTTCAAAAGTTATGCCCAAGGTTATCGTTTTTTCAAAAGTAGGTCAAACTCCAAGGTCAAGGTCAAAATGTCAAAGTTGTTGGTAATTGAAGGAAAGTCTTGTCACAAAGTATACACATCTGAAGTTTGAAAGCCCTAGCATTAACTACTCAAAAGTTATCAAGTTATGGCCAAGGTTAAAGTCTGAAAAAAATTTGCTAAAATTGGTCAAACTCCAAGGTCAAGGTTAAAAGGTCAAATTTTATGGTACCAAAAGATAGGTCTTGTCACAAGGAGTACACATGTGAAATATGGAAGCCATAGCTCCATCCAATGAAAAGTTTAGGCAAGGTTAAAGTTTTTACCGACAGACAGATAGACAGATGGACATAAAAACAGACAGACTGACGGACAGGGCAAAAAATACATGCCCCCGAATCTTCGATTTCGGGGGCATAAAAACTAATTGAAAATAATTTTTATTTTTGTTTATAAAAAAAGGTACAAAGATTTCCGATTGCGAGTAGATTTGGTCTATTCCAGCTGTAAATTCCTGTAGTACTCCTAATAACCCATAATGCAATTCAACTCATTCATTTGATTTGTCGGTTTTAAGTCACTTTGGTACCTCGTTTAGCATGTAAATTTAGTCTGACGCCAGAAAATATAGTTATTATCCACGCATGTTTGTCCAAAAAGAAATTTTATTACATAAGATTAAAGTGAAATATATAGAGATAACGAACAGTATTCGAGCTCAAAAGTCCATTAAACATAGTACATTTCCACTGATATTATATAGTGGTGAAAACTGAAACGTAGATTAAAGCTGAACACGATTGGTAAAAGGAATTTGTCCGCCATATATGATTATTCACTTGCTATATCTAAGGGCCCCTATATAAGCTGCTCAGTCAGTCACTGTTCAGTGTAATCAGTTGTCACCGGTGTAGACGGACACATGCTACACAGCACTCGGTAGCGACAAAAAATAACTGTGTACTTCTACGGCAGGAGAGTAAGATACCAAAGAAACTTACAACAGTTGCACAGGTCAGTGCAGTATACTAACAAACACAAATACACACAACTGCAATAAAATAAACAAAGGCAATGCAAGATAACCAGCACGAACACGTGTCGACATTCCACGCCGATACCCATGACAATAAAGCAGTCAGGCGAAACGAATGCAAAGAGTATATCCGGTGCTGATATCGTAGATAGTATAATCGAATATGGCGTATGCCTATTTACGAGTCGTGTTCAGCTTTAACGTTGTTGTTTACCATGTCTGCACGTGCTAGTCACATCCTATAGTGAATAATTTACTTTATCTATCAACAGTTTTGCTGTAGTCTCATTAAATTTTGCCAGAGCTACTGCGACTCGGATTTTGTAATTTGCAGAACTCCGAATAATAAAAGGTTACGAACACATGTAGTAGGGGTACCGGTGGATTTTGTCTCTGACGTCTTTCAGCCAAATTTGATTGGACGCTGTTCCTTTTTTCGGATGACCGACATGGTTTTTTCTGCCACTTTTTGAAATGCATTTCTTTTCTTTTTATGCCCCCCGTATCGAAAATTCGAGGGATATAGTTTTTGCCCTGTTCGTCCGTCTGTCTATCTGTTTGTCCGCAAAAACTTTAACCTTGCCCATACCTTTTGATTGGTTGGAGCTATGACTTTCATATTTCACAAGTATAATCCTTGTGAAAAGACCTTTGTTTGGGTACCATCACATTTGACTTTTTGACCTTGACCTTGGAGTTTGACCCAAATTTTCAAAATTTTATGAGACTTTAACCTTGGTCATAACTTTTGAACAGTTAGTGCTTGGGCTTTCAAACTTCATATGTGTATTTCTTGTGGCAAGACCTTCCTTTAGATACCAACAACTTTGACCCTTTGACCTTGGAGTTTGACCTACTTTGGAAAAACTTTAACCTTGGACATACTTTTGAACACTTGGTGCTAGGGCTTCCATATTAATATCGATTCTCTGTAACCACTTAAACTTCTTTGCCACGCATGATCACCGATTTTGATGAAACTTTGCCCATTATTACAACTTGACACCAGAAACATATTTCAAATAAAATTTCGTTGCTATGTGTCTTGGTTGCCATGGTAACAGCCAGAAAAGTTGAAAAAATTGAGATTTTCAGCTACTTTGATTCTTTATTGTGCCTTAATAAAGACCAAGAAAAACAAACAAACCATTCTCCCAAAAACATGACACTTTGTTGCCACTTATGCTATAAAGAAACTATTTGGAATTTATCTCTTAGTTAGTGGTAACCATGGGTACATTTGGAATACATTTTAGATGCTGAAAAATGCTGAAACTGAGGGACTCTGAACATGTTGAAAAATGCCATTTTTCAAACGTTAGGACATGTTGCTATAGTAACCATGACACGTAGCAACCAATTTTTGCCTGATTTGAGTTTACGGTATCAAAGACTTTTATCATAGGGAGTTTGGAGAAATTCTGAGACTATGCGTGCCACAGCTCCTATATAAAAGTTCAAGTCATTACAGAGAATGGCTCTTAAAATGTCTGTTCCTTGTAATAAGACTTTCCTTTGGATACCACCAACTTTGAACTTTTGACCTTGACCTTCACGCTTAATTTTTAGTAACGTTTGACTTGATTTATGAAGGAAATAATAATTTTAATCTAAAACTTTATTTCAAAGTTTTCTGTATTTTAACCCTGGTCTGTGCGTACTATCTCCGACTTTTAAAGACCGTGATATTTCCAAAAAAATGTTCAAACAATCAAAACCAAACTATTCTGACTTTGATTTTCATTACAAATACTCTAGATCTGGTATATAGTAAGATTATTAGGCCATTCAGTTTGACAAACACGCTATTGCTCACGAACTTTATGGGCAACCCTCATATACTCTAATTATTAAAAAAAAATCTATAAAAGTACATCATGAAATGTTGCTAAGCTGATATGAAAGATTAGTAGACAGTCAATTAACAGGACAAAAGTATTGATTAAAATTTGAAAGAAAAGAGACTAAATTAACAACAAAATATTTTTACAATACTGATTTAATTATCAGTATTTTTCACTGATTTTTTTAACATTAAAAACCCCCCAAGTACGTTGGGCACCATTGTCACATCAAGTAGTAAATAGTTGAAATAATAACAACACAACACGGCTGCGTGGTTCGAGATATATTCAACTTTTATGGAATTTAAAACAATATATGAAGAAAGGGTGACCTGAAATATAATAACAAGTAATATAATAAACATCTCCTCAGCTCGCTCGCAGTTTTACGCTGATCATTTAAATTTATAAATTTGGATAATTTAGAAATTGCTTGATTTAAATAAAATGATAGAATAGATAATGAGTAATACTTGAATTTCAAGAAATAATTTTCTTTAAATATATTTGTGTTTGGGAGAGAGAACCATTTCTCTCCCCAAAGTCCAAGGCTGGAGTGCGGGAGAAATAGTACTGGTGCGAATGCGTAAGGGACAGAGAGAAAAAAAAACACTTTTATTCGCACTGACCACATACCGGTATAAATTAATGAATAAATAAGTAAGTGAATGAACGCAGTATATTCCGTAGTGACAACAGAATTCACTGGTCACTTTATTTTATATAATGCCTTAGGAAAATATATGAAAATGATATGAATGATAATAAGTAATAATGATAAATTAATTATAAATCACCCTGTGACATAATATATTTTCTTTAATTCTTCAATAAAAAAATCAACTATCAGTTTATCAGTATTTTTCGCTGATTTTTTTTTAAGTTAAAGAAGTTTCCAATGTATTCTCTTTTATTTGAATCAAGAAGATCTATTTTTATATATTACTCATGGCCCTTGTTGCTTCTTGATTTTCATTTCCACTCTGGACAGCGATGAGTAGTAACCAGTTATGTGATTCCAGTTAATGCCTTTACCGAAGGATGTGTTCCCATAATGCCCGTTAAGATTTGAGTTGTGACACCCAGCGTACCACCAAGCCCCGTAGAATGCGATTGCGCAGTTCGGGTTGCCATAGCTTCCGCTATTACCGTCGTTATCTCGATCACGTGTTGTAAATGGTTGTCCTTTATGCCAGCTCAGAGCGTTACCTGCAAGTCAAAATAATATGAGTAGTATGTGTTTCATTAGCTGTTTGTTCTTCATAATTTGTTCTTTATAATTTCCTTGTCTGGATCACAGGTGCTTGTGGACAGGACCCCCCTCCCCCCAAATATACACCCTGGGTTCATGGATATTTTTTAGTCTTTTTCCATAAATTAATCTTCTAGTACACATTTACAATGTATTCCATATGAGAAATCCAAAAAATAACGTAGAATTAACGTTTCATTAAAAAACGATAAAACATGAATTAGTATTATTCAGAATGAATACATGTAATCAGAAAAGGTAATCACAAGTCTTTGAAGAAAGAATATTTAATTAACGATTCATATTTGTGGAAATATAATATTTTTTGGACTTGTGGATTATCAGGATGGAACTATCTTCAGTCTATTTTCTAGATCTATTGATTAGACAAATAAATTTGTTGAAATCTGAGTACGAGAAGCACTCAGGCTTAATGAAAGGGAAGTTTCAGAAACTGGTTGCAATGAAAATGAGAATTCTTTAAAAAGTTACTTTTGAAAATTTGACAAGCAGTGAAATGTTGATAGGCATTTTTTACGTTTAAGTGTACCTGTATTTCCTTCTAGAAAGTTGGCGTAATTCATACGGTAATAGTCAGACTCAGATGATATTGTAAAATCTGAATACATTGCATAATAGACTTGGGAGTTGTATTCCATATCTATTCGTAGGACGTATTCACCCTGAGATGTGAGAGTATGGATGTTGTCTAGCCCTGCAAGTATCACAGTATCTGATGATATAAACAGAAATTGTAAAGTCAAGTAGGTGTAATTAAGCAATAGAAATAGAAAAACAAACAACGCACACAACGTATACTGTGGTTTCATCAATTTTCGTTGGCATCAATTTTCGTGTATTTTGTAAAACAGACGTTTTCGAGGATACATAATTTCGTGGAAAAAATAATGCCTATACAAATGAGTAACATATTTCCTAAGTTGATGAACATTTAATTTCGTCGATCTGCTTAACAACGAAATCCTCGAAAATTGGTGCTCAACGAATATTGATGAAACCACAGTATATATGAACCATAATAAAGAAACAATGAATTCCATATATACACTTGTTATTAGTCTTTTTGGGATTTTTTTTTAAATTCAGGTATGGTTGAACCTTGTTAATTATATTCTTTGATGGCAAATAAACACGTGTAAGGAATTTGGTATTATTCTGAAGAAAAAAAATCTGGCTTGCATATAGAACCAACAGTTTCTACTCAGAATTTTATGCAACTTTCTTTTCTATCTGAATTTCAAACTGAATTTTACATTTTTGCACTACTTCACAAAGGAATGGTTGGTTCTCCGGAGAGCTTGAATTACTTATGATGGAAAATAAATGCAAACATTCTAGTTTTGTGATCATTCATCATTAAACTTTTGAAAAAATCATTCAGAATCTTTAAGTCGAAGTTTATGAAATTGAAATTAAGTTTTGCTACGGATCAAACAATATCTAACATTTTCTCCCGACAGTTTATTTGAGTTTCAAAAAGAATTTTACAACTAACTCGAGAACACAGAGGAATAGTTGGGTCTCTGAAGAGCTTTGAATTTTACTTATAAATAAATAATAATGTGGATGAACATTTTTATGCCCCCGTTTTCGAAGATTCGAGGCATATAGTTTTTGCCCTGTCCGTCCGTCTGTCTGTCTCTTTGCCTGTTTGTCCGCAAAAACTTTAACATTGGCCATAACTTTTGACAGTTGGTGCTGGGGCTTTCATATTTCACATGTGTATTTATCGTGACAAGACCTTTCCATGGGTGTAAATATTCTTGACTTTTTGACCTTTCCCTTAGAGTTTGACCCACTTTCAAAAACTTTAACCTTGGCTATAACTTTTCAACAAATAACACTAGGGCTTTCAAATTTCACAGGTATATTCCTTGTGACAAGAACTTCCTTTGGACACCAAAAGTTTGACCTTGACTTTGAAGTTTGACCAATTATTGGAAAAACTTTAACCTTCGCCATAACATTTGATCAGTTGATGCTAGGGCTTTTATATTTTGCATGCATGTATTTCTTATGACAAGGTCTTCCCATGCGTACCAATAATTTTGACCTTGACCTTCACGCTTGACCTACCTTTGAAAAACTTTAACCTTGGTCATTACTTTTCCATGTTTGGTGCTCGGGCTTTTACATTTCATAGGTATATTCCTTGAGACAAGACTTTTCTTTAGATAACAACATTTTTGATTCCTTGGCCTTGACCAGACGGACGGTCGGACGGACAGGAAAAAAACTATATGTCCCCGAATCTTCGATTACGGGGGCATAAAAAATTTCATTAACTTACTAAAATTTCTGCGATCAGGTTTTACAATTCTTAATGTAAGTTTTAATGGAAATTCAAAACTCCACAATATAATTGTAGAAAGTAAAGAATTACCTAACCAGAATTCCCCACTAGGGCTACCGAACCCGACCTTATAATCACTCCAGTCACGGTAGAAACTGACAGAGCCATCCAGTCTACGTTGAATAACCTGAAGTATATCATACACGCATGTTGAAGTTATGCCAAAGATTTCAGCCACACCCCAAACCTTTGTGGAACAATATTCTCAATAACTATAATTTTTAGTTTTGAATTAGAGATACTCTTTTTATTAAATCTTACAATCCATCTTCCCCCATCTGTATCCATATCGCACCGTACAGGAACAATTCCGTCACCTATCTTCAGATTGTATTGTCCTGTGACATCACCATGCATAAGCGAAACATCGTTGCAATCTGTTTTGGGGAAAGCATATATTTACATCATCATGAAAAATGGCAATGTGATACTCCGCTTTACGGTACCCTTGTTAATCGTTGTGTATTTATTTATATAAAGGTGAACTATGAACCAGATCAGCATTGTGGCCAATGGGCCTGTTTATTAATTTTTTCTCCAGGTATGTTCTCAAGTTGTATGTAATTAAGGACATTAAAGATTTCTCTTATTTTCCTCATGAACAGAGTCAAATGAGAATGTAGATGCATATGCATTATATGGTACAAATTTTAGTTCACCTCTGCAAGTCGAGATGAGCTTACGCTATACCCCCGGCGTCCATTCCAAAGTAATTACAAGTCCTGTCTGCACGAAATTTGTATGGATTATACATCTACATGTAGGTATATACACAATTAGACTTGCTTTGGAAGCTGGATCTGACCTATATTTTTCAGATTATTGACCAAGTTAAATTTTTTTGGATTTTGAAGCAGTTTCATTTCCCAGTAACTATAAAACCTATGATAAAACCTATGATGGCTTCAAACTTGCTTGGATGAAGCATCTTCGGATGCACAATACCAGACTTGCTTTGGATGCTGAATATGATCTACATGTACATTTTCCGGATGATTGAACAGGATAAACATTTTGGAGCAGGTCCATTCTTACATATTATCCCTATGGTGCTTGAACTTGCATGGATTATGCATCTAGGTATGCTCTCTACAAGACTGCCACTAACCTACATGTACATATACATGAAATATGGAGATAACGAACAGTATTCAAGCTCAAAGTCCATTAAAACAATACAAATCGGGACCAGAGCAAACATGGGCCTCCAAAACATCAGAGGTGAATCAGGTGCCATGGAGGAGTGAGCCGACCGGTCACACCCGCCGTGTGCTCCTGGTCATGATTGGGAAATAGCGGAAAATACATCGACAATTCAGTGTGTAAATAATGGCCTAAAAATTAGTTTGAAAAACGTCAGTCAGCAAATGACTAAATGATAGATTGTATTTGCTGACAAGGCCATTACATATACCGACCATAGAACTTACGAAATGATGACTTTAAACGACACTGTTGATATTCTTGTTTCATCAACTTGTTTGTCAATAACTTACCTCGTTTTAGAAATTGTTCATACGTAGAGCATGCTCTTGCGTATCGAATCAACTGAGAGACATAAACCCCATATGCAGGTGATAAGGGGCATTTTGCTACATAAGTAAGGGAAGTTGACGATTGAAAAGTTGAAGTCATCACGTTTATCATAAAGCTTTGTTGTTAGGTTACCATTAACGTCTTTTTCTAGTAAAATATCTAAATATGAATCAAATGTGTCAGAATCTGTGGTATCTTTTATTTCAAGCTCACTGGGATATATCGAATCGACATATGAATGAAAGTAACTATTGTTAATTGATAATACGTCGTCGATATATCGAAATGTCGAGGTGAAGACCACAGCAAGTGTTTTCTTCTCATATAGAACTTTTTGAAAAAATTCTGTTTCATATGAATACAAAAATAGATCTGCTAATAAGGGGGCGCAATTATTACCCATGGGTATTCCAACAGATTGTTGGAAGAGCTATCTCCAAAAACTACATGATATTGTCAATCAGAAACTCAAGCATCTTTTTAAAATCAACTTCAGAGTACTTGTGTTTACAGTCAGAGTGCTTTTTAACAAAATAATTTTGTAAATGACCAGTGACAAGCTAAGTATATATACGAGTTCCATTTTTATTGAAAAAGCAGCTGTCTATGATGTCAAAAACACTGGACTTCAATTTATCGTGGGGAATGGTTGTATAAAGTGTTGAAAAGTCGTACGTTTTGATGCTATTGATTTTAGTAAAATTTTGTGATTTCAAACTTTCACAAAGTTCTTTCGAGTTTTCATCAAAAGGACTATTTGACCATCTACCAGTCTAAATTGGGAAGTTCTAAATTTTATTTGTATTTTTCTAAATTTACTTGGTAAATACTAGTACTCAAATATTTCTCACGTCCAAAATCATTCCTAAAAATTTTGTAAATTGTAACAAGAGGTTAAAATTTTGTAAATAAAATATACCCATGATTTTTTTTTTTTTTTTTTTTTTTTTTTTTTTTTTTGGCCTCCTTGAAAATATTGAGAACATAAATATTTAAACAATACGTAAACTATTTTGTTTTCTGAAGATTTCGAGGCAATTAATTTTAACCAGCAAAAGATAATATTTGTAAAATCATTTGTATAATATTATATACAATGGGAATAGCACAGTCTCTTCATACACCATAAAAGAAGGCGTACTACCTTTGAATTGAAAATATTCTTCAAAAATTTTAAATGTACATATTCAATGGTACCAAGGTTTTCATACCTCAAAATTTAACAGCAATAAGTAAAAATAATATAACTTTTTCAAAAAGATCTAACTAGCATTTATTTGGTACGTTAAACTGTCTTATCTTCCTTATATCACCATACACAACTTTCTATGCTTGTTCATATAAATGTTTCCTGGCCTTACAAAATGAGCCTGAGCGGAATTTCCCCCCTAAATATTTAAATTCGTTCAGATTTTGAATTGCATTATTGATATATCAGAATACTTTTACTTTTTTTGACAAAAGCCATTTAGAAAATATTAAAACCTTTATCTTACTAACATTAGCATTAAGATTTCATTGTGAACAATACAAATAAAAAAACATTCAAAGTATCCTGTGTTCTTCCCTCACTTTTCTCCAACTCTCTCTTTTCCTTCCTATCACTATCCCAAGCATCGATCGTTTTTTCAAAGTGGGAATGAGAAGGCAAAAATAATTGACAGGCAAAAAGTCAACAATTTTATTGAGAGGACACTGCAATAAATTTAGCTTTGTTTGCTATTGTATAAAATATTATGAAAAAAGATTGAGGAATAGGCTTTGTTTTCTATTGTATAGTACAGTATGTACCGGCAAATTATCGGGGGAATGACAATTAAGCCCTCTTCCCCCCAAAAAACAAAAAAAAATCCCATCTAAAAATACTATGGAACCTCCAGCTGACCGTCGTGGATAAGCGAAGATAAGGAGAAGACCATTTGATTGAGTGATGAGGGACTGGCAGATATTGGAAGTAAATAATCTATATCCTTGAAAATGTTGGAAATAATTTTGGATACTAAACCTGTAATCCAGATCTGATCTTAACTGTTGGTATCACCACACTGATGGTACAACATCACAGCACCCCACCCACCTCGTCATTCCCCCTCCCCTCGGAAATAGAGTTTTTGAGTTTGGACAGATTTTTTTCTCGTGCTTGTCAACTTTATCCAGGTAAGAAAGAAATAACTAATATGTCTTTAGTCATCTTGGAAAGAAATATCTTGTCCTTTGATTGATTGATTGTATGATGTTTTACTTCTCATTCGAGAATTTTTCACTCATATAGAGACGTACCATATACCGGTGAAGGGCTTCAAATTTTGACCATTCACGGCCATTTACCAGTGAGGAATCGTTATCGTGCCAACGCCTGACGTGACACGGGGCCTTGGTTTTTAAGGTCTCATCTGAAGAATCCACAACTTTCACTTCAAAGTGCCCAGTGCATGGCGAAGGAACAGATGCTACCTATTTTTTTTTTTTATCGAACTCATGACCTTCCGAGCGCTCTACCGACTGGGCTACCGTGACGATTTTTGTCCTTCGAAGCAATGAAAATAATTACCTGTAATATGACTAGATAAAGCCCCCCCCCCCCCCCCCCAATCAAATGGTCGTCCCCTAACAGATTTAAATTTTGTCTACGGATAAATTGAACTAAAATATATGTGTAAAAAAATAAATAAATGAATCAAAAAAGAAAAAAAAGTAAAATGAATAGGACATATAAGTATGCATTTTACATACAGTGTCATACATTAGAAATAATATATTTAAAGTCTTACAATATATCTTTAAAAGTTTGTTTTTCTGTTCATACGATTTGCCATATAACGCTGTATATTGCAGTTCGCCCACTTTAGCGTGACGCGCAGTCGGTTACTTCCATGATGTGGTGACAAGTCAAAGCTTATATATTCTTTCATTTTCATGCGATCTTATAAAGCCTTAAGAGCGCTCGCTCGGAAGGTCGTGGGCTCAAACCTCGGCTGCGATTGACCTAAGTTGATAAAAATAGGTAGCAACTGTTTCTTCGCCCCAAGCCCTCGTCACTTTGAAGTGAAAGTTGCAGGTCTTTCGCATGAGACCTTAAAAACCGAGCCCGTGTCACGGCAGGCGTTGGCACGATAAAGATCCCTCACTGCTCAAAGGCCCCGAGTTCCGAGTAAAGGTCTAAATTTGAAACCCCTTCACCGTCTAAAGTCTTATATGAGTGAAAATTCTCAAACGGGAAGTAAAACATGGTACAATCAATCAATTTAAAGTCGTAACCTAAAGAAATATATGTTATGTTATATATCATTAGAAAAAAGAAAGCTCTACAAGAATCAATAAAAATTAAAAATGTCAAAATTCTTAGTTAAGAACGGATTTTGCTTGGCATGTCACACATACATTAAAAGAATCATGTGTACATAATCTAGGTTATTTTTCTTATGCATCAAGTTTTATTGAAATCAGACTAACATAAAGGAGGAGGAATATTTTAGAAGAATTTCACTGAAAATGATATTTTGTAGATACCATCACTTCATTTATCATTACGCAATAAAGGGATTTATATTAATATTGTAAATTGAAGATGGATAAATCATCGTATTGACTGAAAAAGCAGCAACTATTTTCTTTAATTATATGATTTCATGATTAAATGAAACAAACTGATTAAGCAATCCATGCCATCTTGTTTACACTTGCTGAAGAACTAGCCAAACGCAATGAGAGATAAAATAATCTTTTGTGTATATGTTTTGGAATTATATTATATTATTGTATATTATATCATTAGTGTTGTCAACGAGTACCAGGTTAACCGGGTAACTGTCGAACGATGCGAGTACGGTTAGTAAAACTGCTA